GAGAGAGGAGGAGGAGGAGGGAGGATGAGGTAGCAGAAGGGGAGGAGGAGGAGGAGGAGGAGGAGGAGGAGGAGGAGGAGGAACGAGACGAGGCCCAGGGAGGAGGAGGGGAGGAGGAAGGAGGAGGGGGAGGAAGAGGGGAGGAGGCCGGAGGAGGAGGAGGAGGAGGGAAAGATGGAGGAGGAGGCGGAGGAGGAGGAGGAGGAGGAGGCGGTGGGGACGGAGGAGGAGGAGGAGGAGGAGGCACATGTAGTGAGGAGGAGGAGGACTGCGGAGGCGGAGGGCGGAGGCGGTGGAGGCGGAGCGAGGTCGGAGGAGGAGGAGGAGGAGGACGGATGAGGAGGAGGAGGAGGAGGAGGAGGGGAGGGGAAAGAGGAGGAGGAGAGGAGGAGGAGGAGGAAGAGGGAGAGAGGCGGACACAGGCGGAGGCGGAGGCGGCAGGCGGAGGCGAAGCGAGGAGGAGGAGGAGGAGGAGGAGGAGGGGAGGCCAGGAGGAGGAGGAAGGGGAGGAGAACGGGGGTGGAGGGGAAGGGGAGGATGCGAGAGAGCGAGCGGAGCGAGCAGGACAGAGGAGCTGGAGGAGGAGGAGGAGGAGGAGGAGGAGGAGCAGGAGGAGGAGGAGGAGGAGGAGCGAAGGGTGATGTAACAAGCTCTCAACGCCAAGCCTCCCAGCACGAACGGTGGTGTGAGTAACTTCGGTTAATGTGTTTGAGGCGCTCTTTCCGTTTCCGTGCTGGCCCAGGTCTAATTGCCTTCCCGCTTTGGTTTTTTATTGAGTAGGACGGCCTTCGGGGCTTAAAAACAGCGTTTCGCTCGAGACATCATCGAAAACCGCTTCTTGGGCGCTTCTTGGGCCGTCTTAGGCGCCTAAGACAGCCCACGAAGCGGTCAAGACGGCGCCCAAGACGGCCCAAGACGACCCAAGAAGCGCCCAAGACGGCCCAAGAGCGCTCCAAGAGAGCCCAAGACCGCTCAAGGCGGCCCCAAGACGTCCCAAGAGGCCTCCACGACGCCCCAGGAGGCGCCCACGAGGCGTCCCAAGAGGGCCCCAAGAGGCCAAAATCATTGATTTCCTTAAGGAAGACGTGCATTTTTAGCATGTACGGCCTTTCGCCTTTCGTGGCGTTGAAGACAGTCCAAGTGGCCCCCAAGACCGCCCCAAGACGGCCCAAGATGTTCCCAAGAGGCCCCAAAAATAGCCCAAGAGGGCGCCAAGACGGGCCAAGAGGCGTCCAAGACTGTCCAAGAGGCCCCCAAGAGCGCCCCAAGAAGGCCCAAGAGGCCCCCAAGAAGGCCCCGAAACGGCCCAAGAGGGCGCCAAGACGGCCCAAGAGGCGCCAAGACGGCCCAAGACGGCGCCAGGACGGCCCCAAGAAGGCCCCAAAAGGCCCCCAAGAGAGCCCAAAGAAGACGGCCAAAGGCAGCCTAGTCCCTTCACCCCCGCAGCCCAGAAGCTCCCAGGAGGCCCCAAGAGGCCCCCGAAAAGCCCCAAAAGGTCCCCAAGAGGCACCCAAGAGGCTCCCCAAGAGCCCCCCAAGAGGCCCAAAATACTCCCAAAGACTCTTAGCACCGCGGCTCCCAAGAGCGAGCGGTGACGTAATCGAGCTGATAAGACCAAAGCTCCCAACAGAGAGCTGCGGCGTAATAAGTTCTTGACGCCAGGGCACAGGGACGGGCGGCAACGCGTGGACAACGAGCGGTCCACGCAAGGACAACGCGGGGTTCTGGAAAGCTGGCAGCCAAAACGCGGAAAACGCAACGCGACCCGACCGCCCCCTCCAAAACAAGAAACGCGCTCAAAGAAAGCTCCGCGACTCTCCGAGGCTGAGATAGGACAAGAGCGCGGGGAAGGGAGTCAATAAGAGGTGTAAGAGCGGACGAGCCAGCGATCTCGTGCGCTCTGAAAGTAAGTGCGCTTTCCGTCCCCGTGCCAAGCAGGTCTAGTGGCCTCCGGCCCATCCCGCCACCTTGCCTGGGTAGTGGGTTGTAATCCTCATGGATGCTTGTTGGGATCTCTTCGGAGGGCTGTCGGGGCAGAAAACCTCTAGAGGCAGTTAGGAGGCCGCTGGAGAGCCTCTTGGAAGCCTCTTGGTAACGTCTTGGGGCTGCCTTGGGGCCTCTTGGGGGCCTCTTGGGGCCTCTTGAGTGCCTCTGTGGAGCCTCTTGGGACTCTCGGGAGCCTATTCGGCGGTGAGCTCGAAATGTCGGTTCGTGTTCGCCCTGTGGGGCCCTCTTGAGCTGTCTTGTAGGCCGCTTGGGCCGTCTTGGAGGCCTTGTGGGCCGTCTCGGCGACCTCTTGATGGCTTCGTAGGCCATATGGGGGCGATCTTTGGTGGGGCCTCTTGGGCCGTCTTGGAGCATCGGGAAAACGAAAAGGCAGAAATGCAAACATCTGTCGAATACCAACGGCAATTCAATCAATTTTGCCTCTTGGGGCGCTCTTGGGAGTGCTCTTGTAAGCTTCCTGGGGCGTCTTGGAAGCGGCGTCTTGGGCCGTCTGGAGGCTATCTTAGGCGTCTTGGAGCAATCTTTCGGCGACTCTGGGCCCTCTTGGGCCCCTCTTGGAGTATATCAAGTTTGATTTGCCGACGAAGGGCAACATTTGCTCGAAGGCGGCCCGACAAGGGAAGGGGTGGACCATCTTCTGACCTCGGCCCCCCCCCCTGGACCCTCCCACAGGACCCCCCCCCAGGGGACCCCCCTCCCGGTGGGGAAGGGATCAAAGGAAAGGGACAGGGGCTTACCTTCGACTCAATTACGACTTCGATTGCGACCTGGCTTGATTCACCTCGAGTTGACGAGCCTGGCACGCCAAAGAGGGTTTCGGGCGAGTCTCCTGGAATAGAAAAGCAAATCGAATGAAAGGATCGTCTCCGAGGAACACCCGCGGACGACGGACCCATAGCTCCCCCTCACACACGCTGACAGGGTCGGCGGATTTTCTAAGAATTCGCCTTTGGGCCGCGAGACTTCGGATTTCTGATCCAACGGATCCTTATCCACTACTCTCGCCGTATCGCCCATGCTTCTTTGGAACACGTCCCACCCCACCCCGCGGCGCTCAATCGGGGATGGCCTCGGCATCGATTAGTGCTGGCCCCTGCGCGTCTGGCTGAGGCCTCCCGCGGTAATGGTGGCGGTGCACTTCCTCCTCGCATTCCTTGCTTCATTCCCAAATCCTACCCCTCTTCCTTGTCATCATGAGCGCTGTGGTAGGGCGAGGAGTCATCACCAGCACCGGCATCATCATCATCATCATCATCATCATCATCATCATCATCATCATCATCATCATCATCACCACCATCATCATCATGATCATCACCATCACCATCACCATCACCATCACCATCACCATCACCATCATCATCACCATCATCATCACCATCCCCATCCCCATCCCCATCCCCATCATCACCATATCATCATCGTCACCATCATCATCAGCACTGTCCTCGCCACCACCCTCCCCCTGTATGCAGCATCAACAGCGGCCCCGTCACTGCCTCAGACGCCACTGGTGGCGGGCAGGTAGGCGAGCGGCCCCCAGGCCGAAGCGCCGGTTCAAGCCCGGCGGCGCGGGGCCCCGGCGACCGCAGGGCCACGGGCAGCATCCTCGTGGACTTCAAGACTGGTGCCGCAGGGCAGCGGGGCCTCTCGGCGGCACATGCGCGCCGGCCGGCTGCAGGACGGGCTGGGAGCCGGGCCACCCGTGACGGCGGCGCCGGGTGCGGAACATCGGCAGAGGGCCAGGGAGCGACACACGAGCTCTTGGCGTCGCGGCCGCGCGCGCAGCAGCGCGGCGGAGTCGGGCCGAGGCCGAAAGAGCTGCGCGGACCGGGCCAGCTCGGAGGCAGCAGGGGCACGGGAAGCCACGCGCGAACACAATCTTTCGAGCGTCCTCGGGCGGTCTCTCCGCTGGCGCCGGGCGCCCCTCCCCCACCCCTTGGGGGACAACCCCCCCCCTCCTCCCTCCCGCGCCTCGCGCGCTTGGGAGGGGTGCGGGGAGGGGGCCTGGCGCGTGCGGGGAGCCCGCGGGCGTGCAGAAGCTCGTGCCCGTTTGCGTCTGCACCCGGCCTCTCGTTCTGTCTGCGACCCCCAGAGGCCGCGCCTCTCCTCTCCTGGCCTCGCCTCTCCTCTCCCGTCGTCTCCTCCCCCCTTTTCCGTCTTCCTCTCCATTGCGGCGCATTGCTCCGCGGTGCGCTGCGTCGCGTTCCCCCTGCTGTCTGATAGGGCCCTGCTCCCTACGTGGTTTCTCACTCCTCTGTCCGTTGCTCTCCGCTCTTCCTCCCTTCTCGCCCATTTGGCCCCTCTTTTTCTTCGCCCTTTTTCATGCATCCTTCATCCCCCCCTTCTCTCTCTCCTGCTTGTTGCTCTGTGCTCTCCCTGCTCTGAAGTCCATGCTCCATCCTTCCCCTCGCCTTCCTCCTGCTCCCGCTCGTATCTCTTCTCCCTCCTCCATCCCTGCGCGCTGCTCCTAAGCCAACATCCGCTACTCCATGCTCCACGCTTCCTCGCCCTCTTCTCTCCTTCTTCCACTTCTCCTCTTCCTCTTCCCCCGCTCTCCATCCCTCCTCTCCAATTCTCTCCCTTAATCAATCTCTCCTTCCTCTCTCTCTCTGTCTCGCTGTCTCTCTCCCTCTCTCTTGCTCTTCGTGAGTATCTTCATCTCCCTCTCTGTACTATCCCATTTGTTTCGTGTTGATGCATAGTTTGTTATCTCGCTCTCTCACTCTGTTCCCCCCTCGCCCCGTCCATCACATTGCCCTCTCTATGTCTCTCCCTCCCTCCCGCTTGCCTCTCTCGATCTATCTATCCCTCTGTCCTCCCTCCATACGCTCTTTCCTTGCATCCCCTTGCCCATGTTTCACTTGTTCCATTAGTTCACCCTCATTTGTTTGCTTTCTCGATCGGTTAACCTAATATCAACCTTCTCTCTCTCTCTTTCTTTCTCTTGTTCCTTTCTTGTCCTTGCTCGATCGGCCTACATCCGTTGCCGCTTTGGTTCAAGCCTTGACACACTTGAGCTGAATCACGCCCTGGCTAACGCGCCTGCGGGCCCTGTCCGCGAAGCCGATGCCACTTCAGAGAAACGACCGCACAAGGCATGGCTTTCGCGCAAAGATGGCGTCGTGGAGGTTGGGGCCAGACGGCAAGATTTCTGCCTGGATGCTCACATTCGTGGATCCAGATATGGAGGAGGGTTTCCTAAACAGCAATCGGAAGCATGCGCGATCCTCCTCTCGGGTCGTTCTCATCATTCTCATGGTTCTGTGCGGGCTATCAGTGCTGTTGTCCTACGTTGACGCTGCCCGCAGTGAGCCGTCAGAAGAAACTGACAGGCTGAGGCGGTGGCAGCTTGCTATTCAACTCGCTTGTGTTGGCGCAGAGTTGTCATCACTGGTCGCGTCAATCGTGTTGATGGAATACGGAGTCATAGGCCTACGTGGGATGGAGATTCTTGGGCTTACGCCGTACCGCCGACACCATTGGGAACTGGCGGTTGTTTTGTGTTGTTCATGAGGGCCTCTTGTGCGCCTATTGGGGGCTTCTTGGAGCTCTTTTGGGGCTGCATGGGGGCCTATTGAGGGCCTTTTCGGGGTCTCTTGGGCTGATACCTTCAGTATTCGCTGTGCACGCATGGGGAAACGGGCGAAAGGCCACGTATACAGACGGCGGGCATCTGTCAAAATACCCGAATGATGATCGAAGACGCCTACGGCGAATCACCGCCGCCCCCCTGCCGTTTTGGAAGCGCCTGCGTGGCCGAAAGTTGGGTTTGAGCTTGACCAAGCTATCGGGCCACGCGTTCCCCGAATCGGTTTGGAAAGCCTTCGGGGAACACGGAGTCGGGCGAGCTATCGGACCAGGTGGTTTCTGAGCTGTCGGGCCTCTCGGAGGACGTCTTGGATGGGTCTTGGGCCGTCTTGGAGGCCTCTGGCGGGCCTCTTGGGCAGTCTAAGGCCATCTTCAGGCCATCTGGGGCCGTCTTGGGTGCATCTTGGAGCCATCTTCGCCGCCCTAGAGGCCTTCTTGGCCGTTTTGGAGGCACGTGGGCATCTTGAAGGTCATCTTGGCCGCCTGGAGGCCATTTAAACCCTTTTGGGCATTGTTGGAGGACGTTTTCGAGGGCTCTTGGGCCGTCTTGGAGGCCATCTTGAACGTATTGGAGGCCTCTTGGGCTGTCTTTGGGGCCTCTTGGGGCCGTCTTGGGCCTCTTGGGCGATCTTTGGGGGCACTTGGGCCGTCTTGGGCCGTCCGAAAGCCGAAAAAAAAACAAATGCCACAATCCTTCAACAACTCATGGGGAATCGATGAGGTTGACCTTTTCGGGCGGACTTGGAGGCCCTCTTGGAGGCCTCTTGGGCCGTCTTGGGCCATCTTAGTGCCATTTTCGGCTGTCTTGGTGGGCCCCTGGCCCGTCCGACTGGGCCGTCTTGGAGGCCATCTTGGGCGTCTTAAAAGCCTCATGGGCCGTCTTTGTGCCCTCTTGGGGCCGACTTGGGGGCCTCATGGGCCGTTTTGGAACCATCTCGGAGGCCTCTTGGGCGATCTTTGGGCGATCTTTGGGGGCTCTCGGGCCGTATCGGGCCGTCAGAAGGCCGAATCGAAGCAAATGTCAAAATCCTTCAAAAACCTTGGGACAGTCAATGTTTTTGGCCTTTTCTGGCCTTCCTGGAGGCCCTCTTGGAGGCCTCTTGGGCCGTCTTGGGCCAGCTTCGAGCCAACTTCGGCCATCTTGGTGGGCCCCTGGCCCGTGTGACGCCGTCGGAAGCCGTTTGGGGGGCCTCTCTGGGCCGTCTTGGGGCCCTCTTGGGGTGCTCCAGGGCCGTCTTAGAGGCCATCTTGGGCGTCTTAAAAGCCTCCTGGGCCGTCTTTGTGCCCTCTTGGGGCCGTCTTGGGGGCCTCATGGGCCGTTTTGGAACCATCTCGGAGGCCTCTTGGGCGATCTTTGGGGGCTCTCGGGCCGTATCGGGCCGTCAGAAGGCCGAACCGAAGCACATGTCCCAATCCTTCAAAAAACCTCGGGACAGTCAATGTTTTTGGCCTTTTCTGGCCTTCCTGGAGGCCCTCTTGGAGGCCTCTTGGGCCGTCTTGGGCCAGCTTCGAGCCAACTTCGGCCATCTTGGTGGGCTCCTGGCCCGTGTGACGCCGTCGGAAGCCGTTTGGGGGGCCTTTCTAGGCCCTCTTGGGGTGCTCCAGGGCCGTCTTAGAGGCCATCTTGGGCGTCTTTGAGGCCTCCTGGGTCGTCTTTGTGCCCTCTTTGGGCCGTCTTGGGGGCCTCTTGGGCAGTCCTGAGGCCATCTTGGAGGCCTCTTGGGCGCTGTGGGGCGATCTTGGGGGCCGTCTTGGTCGTCGGAAAGCCGAGAAGAAGCGAATGCCTAACTCCTTCAAACACATGAGGACAATCTATGATTTTGGAATCTTCGGGCACTCCTGGAGGACCTCTTGGAGGCCGCCTTGGACCATCTTGGGCGAACCTGGAGGCCATCTTGGACCATCTTGGAGGCCATCTTGGGCCAACATGGCCATCTTGGAGGCCATCTTGAGCCGTCTTGGAGGATTTTTTGGGGGAGTTGAGCTCCGTGGCAATCCTCCCGGGACCCCGGCGGGACGCGCCGGAGCCCCAGGGGGAGTCCATTTGGGAAACCAAAAGCAGTAGGATCTGGCTCGCCAGGCACCCCTTTGATGAATCAAAAGGGGGCGGCGGATCGAATGGCCTTCGGCACATCCCGCCACCCTGCCTGGCTGCCTGGGTTGCATGTCCGTTCGGGTTCCCCCTCCTGGCCTCCTCTTGGGGCTGTCCTGGGGCCCTCCTGGGCCGTCTTGGGGGCTTCATGAGCCGTCTTGGGGCTCTCTTGGGTCGTCTTGGAGCACTCTCGGGGCCTCTTGGCCCGTCTTGGGGCGATCTTGACGGCATTTTGGGCCGTCTGGGACGTCGTGAACGCCCAAGAGGCGGATGTGCTAAAAACGCACAGAATGGGAAGATTGTTGCTTCTGGTGGCCCTCTTGAGACGCCTCTTGGGGGCTTCGTGGGGCGTCTTGGAGGCCTCTTGGGGCCCTCTTGGCTTGTTTTGGGGCCCTCTGCCCCCCCCGGGTGCGTTCAGCTGGATCTCCAGGGACCCCCCCTCTCCAAATCGACCGTGCTGGGCTCCAGGATAAAGGGGTTGGGGAAGGGAAACATCTCACACGCCGATGGATCCCAAGGGATTGGCGGATTGCTGCGATTCTCGTTGGTATTGTGTCTGAGGTTCACGTTTGCGCAAGCATTAAGCATTACATTGCAAGGGCGTTAGGCTACGAGGATCCGTGTGCGGCTTGGGGGGCGGATCTCGGCGGTTCAGACGGTCCCTTTGTGTTGAGCCTCGTGATTATTGTCGCGTGCGCTGGTATGTTGGTCAGGTGGAGAGCATTTGTGCCAATCGCATTATTCTCTGTGCTCGTATACACGTCGGCATCCCACATCCTCGGTAGCCCAGACCAGAGGTTGGCCTCGACCAATCTGCTTTTGCTCGTTTTTGCTCTGCTGCTGACGGGCTGCACGAAGCGGACCTCTGAGTTTCAGGCCCGCCTGCTCCACCTGGTGTACCTGGAGGAAAAACAGATGCGGTTCCGGGCAGAGTACGCAATGGAATGCTTGAAGGACCGCGAGGACGTCGCCGTGGAGCTCGGAAGCCACATGGGCGGCTCGTCGTACTTCGGGCAGTTCCTCGACAACCCGTGCCCAGACGACGGCAGCTGGCCGCCCACGCAGGGCTCGCAGGGCTCGCCGCCCTCGGTTCCGAGCATGGTCCTGGGTGCCCCCGCCCACCTCGGACGTGCCTCCTCGGAGTCCGGGGCCAACGACCAGGCCACCCTGTGCTGGGGTTGCCTGCCGCTGGACGCCAGCGTGGCGGTCGAGGGCAGGCCCGACCCCTGCTCCCTGCGGGACCTCGAGAGAGGTCAGCGGGTGCTGTGTCACGACTCGCTGTCGCAGTCGGTCAGGTACGCTGAGGTCCTCGAGAAGCAGGTCGACGTTCAGGAGGGCCCGTGGGTCAGCGTCGGCCTCGAGGACGGGACGCAGCTTGCGATGACAGCGGACCATCCCGTGCAGCGGGCAAACCACAGAGAGGTGGTTCGGGCTGCAGACTTGCTCCCAGGAAGGGACAGCGTGGTCGTACACACGGTGTCGACAGCGCCCGTCATCGTAAAGGAGGTGGCGCGGCAGCAAGAGGCACAAGGCACACCCGGCCTGGCCTGCCTGGCGGTGCGGAGCCCTGACCGGAATTTAGTTCTGGTCGCGGATACGGGGCCACAGGAGGACGCGAGGTCGATGGCCGTGAGTTCCGGTGACGTCAGTGTTGCCGCCGCGCATGTGGTGAGCACCCGCGGAATTTTCCTGTATGCTCACTCGGCCCCGCAATTTGCGCGGGCTCGGTCGGAGCCACCCTGGCCTCGGCCAGCGTAGGCCGAGGACCTTAGGCGAGACTGATCGTATCTTGCTCATCTTTTGCAAGAGGTGTTTCTGACTGGGAGCTTACCTTCACAGGAGCCGTGTACCTGCTCTGCTTGAGTATCGGGTCGACGTCGGGGAATGATTAGCCCAGAGCAGGAAAGCGCCACAGGAGATGGCCATCCCATGCTGGCAAATGTTCTTGCTCATTCGCTTCACGCTTTGGCGTTCTAGCAGATCGCCTTCAGCCCAGTCGCTTGTCCTGGCCCAAGGGCCGACGTCGCCGCAGGACTTTGCCCGCGTTCAAGCGGGCCGACCAGATGAGAAGCATTGAGGAGCAGGATCAGGAGCACGAGCAGGCGTTGGAGGAGGAGAAGAGGAGGAGAAGGAGGATGAGGAGGAGGAGGAGGAAGAGGAGGCAGGAAGCCAAGCTTCACGTATGCAGGGAGAGCGGGCACCAGCAGGGAGGAGGCAGAGGGTCGCCCCACTCGCTGGTGAGAAGCCTGCCCTGGGGATCGCGAAGCGCCCACCCCAGGTTTTCGGCAGCTTGACGCACTTGCTGATTGTGTGCCGCTTTGGCACTCCTTTTTTCCAGTGCCGCTTGTGCCCTGGGGTTTTAGTCTTTGAATTGTTCTGCAGTTCTCTTCTACCTCGGAGGACCCGTCGTTCCGCTGGGCGGCAGCGATGGAAACAAAAGAGAACTTCCGGCAGCTGCTGCGGCTGCAGCTCTTCTTTCCCGGCTCTTCTTTCGGAGGGGGGGGAGACGCCAATGATATATCAACACCGAGCCTGCGAAGGGCGATCCTGAACCCAAGATGCGCCTTCCAACGAACGGTGCTGGTGCAGAGTTGACGTCGTCCCGGCTGCTACTGTTGCCACCCATCGCTACCACTATCAGTGAGAACACCACCACCATCACCACTTCAATTGCCGCTGCCACTGCTATCATGACCACCACCACCACCACTACCACCACCACTGCCACCATCTCTATTCCCAGTCCTGCGCCACGATCGCCACCACTACCACTACGACCGCCACCACCACTACCATCAGTACCACGATGACGGCCACCACCACTAATCGCCACCACTACCACCAAAACCATCTGACTCCTTTTGTGCGTGGAAGCATGACGGCGACTCATTTTCCCTCGGCGGCTGTGTGCACAGCAACGCAGTGGCGACAGATGGCGGAAAGGCAGAACTTGGGCACACAAACACAAGCACACACAGGCACTCACAAACACAACACAAACATGAACGCGCACACACTTTCTTGGCGTCTCGACCACAGGCGCGGCGGCGCGGCGTAGAGCAGGTCGGAGAGGAGCGGGCACTGGCCCGGCTGACGCAGCGGGGAGACTCTGGATCCACCCGTAGGGGATCGACAGCGACACTCACGGGGGGTAGCCGTGCGGGGACAGACGGGGGAAAGAGGGAGAGAAAGAAGGGGAGCGACGAAGTAGTCAGACAGTGCCAAGCCACACCAGTGAACGAGGCGCAGCAGGGATACCGGCGGCAACGGTAGCCACCCAGGATGGAGGAACAATCCAGCGCGGGAGCCTGGGTCCATCCGCAGACCGAAAGGCAAACGGCGCCTGAGAAGGCGGCAGGAGGGCAAAGATGGGTAAGGCAATGACGCCCAGAGTGGGCCGAGGCAGTAAATCGGTGCAGGCTGAGCCCAAAGAAAAGCGCCCAGCTGGAGCCTCCCAGCCGCACACACAAACACAAGCACAACCACAACCACACACTCAGATACGAACACATTCGCAAACGCAAGCGCAAGCATAACACACTCACAATCACACGCACAGTTGCACATAAGCAAATCGGACACACAACTACAAACGCGCATGCACACACATAACAACACATCTCCGCCCACTGGCGCACATACAAACACATTCAGACGCACACGCATTCATACGCACCCGCACACGCACGCACGCACGCACACACACACACACACACACGCACGCACACATACACACGCTTGCACGCACGCACACACACACACACACGCACACACGCACACGCACACGTACACACACACACACACGCACACGCACACGCACACGCACACGCACAAGCACAAGCACAAACACACACACGCACGCGCACACGCACACGAACACGCGCACGCACACGCGCACGCACACGCACACTCACAAACACAAGCACACGCACAAGCACACGCACACGCACACGCACAAACACAAGCACAACCACAATCACTCGCACACACAGACACAGAGACACACACACGCACACGCACACGCACACGCACACAACACACACACACACACACATTCATACGCACACGCACACGCACACGCACACGCACACGCACACGCACACGCACACGCACACGCACACGCACACGCACACGCACACGCACACGCACACGCACACGCACACGCACACGCACACGCACACGCACACGCACACGCACACGCACACGCACACGCACACGCACACGCACACGCACACGCACACGCACACGCACACGCACACGCACACGCACACGCACACGCACACGCACGCACACGCACACGCGCACGCGCGCACGCGCACGCGCACGCGCATCGCACGCGCACAGCGCACGCGCACGCGCACGCGCAACGCGCACGCGCACGCGCACGCGCACGCGCACACGCACACGCGCACCACGCGCACACGCGCACACGCGCACACGCACACGCACACGCACACGCACACGCACACGCACACACGCACACACACGCACACGCACACACGCACACACACGCACACACGCACACACGCACACACGCACACACGCACACACGCACACACGCACACACGCACACACGCACACACGCACACACGCACACAATCACACGCACATACGCACACACGCACACACGCACACACGTGCACACACGTGCACGCACGTGCACGCACGTGCACGCACACACACATACACACACACACACACACACGCACGCACGCACGCACACGCACGCCCGCCCCCCCCGTACACACACACACTCACACACACATGCACACACACACACACACCTACGCACGCACGCACGCAAGCACGCACGCACGCGCGCGCACGCACGCGCAAACACACGCACGCACGCACGCACGCACTTTTGGCGTCGGCGGCTGGGCAGAGGGCGACTGCTCCGGCGGATTGGCAACGTGGGGCACGATGCATGCAAATTGTGGCCGCAACGCATGGAAGGAGGAGGAGGAGGAGGAGGAGGAGGAGGAGGAGGAGGAGCCCCGGCGCGACGGGAAGAGAGGAAGCCGGGCCACTCAGAGCTGCCGGCCGCGGCGGGGGGGCGATGGGGGGGGGCACCGCCGGCACAGGCTGCAATGAACTGGTCTGAGCTGAAGCTAAAGTTGGGAAGGGGCAGCCAGGAGCTGCAGCTGGTGGTGAAGAGAAAACGAAGCACAGCCCAACCTGGTGGACCGAGCACAGCACAGGGATGGGACAATGCAACATGAGGGCCTGCGAGGCGCGTGCGAGGAGACGGAAGGCGATTGCCATGATTAATCAGCCCCAGTTGCAGGCACCGCGCCGCGGGTACAAGAGTTGGTGCTGTTCGGAATTAAGCCGGACATGGCTGAAGCTGGTGCCGAGCGGCACCGAACAGTAGCAGACGAATGGAAGCCAAGGGGGGCGGTGCCCAAACCAGTGGACCAAGGCGCGGTCCAAGGATGAGACAAAAAGCCGAGACCTGCGGGCCTGCGAGGCGCGGGTGGGAGGGGCGGAAGGTAGGCAGTGGCACCGCCCAGAGCGGCACAGAGCAGAACGAGAGCCGTCAAAGAAAGGCGGCGGACGGGAGGGAAAGACGAGCGCCCAGAAACTCGGCCCGGACTTAGGACATCGCGGAATGAGGGGCGGCCCGGCGGGGCGCGGCGCGGCACCCAGCCCAGGGCAGAGAAGGAGTAGGGCACCGCCAAATGGGGGAGCAGCGGGCCCAGGGCAGGCAGAACGAAGGGGGGGGGGCGACGGCGCCGGACGCCAGCCGGCGGCGGGCAGGGCGGCCACGTCCAGAGGGGGGCGGCGAGCCACGTGGGCGAACGGGTAGACCCAGAGGCAGAGAGACAACTGAGCAGCAGCCGACATCGGCGAGGTGCTATAGGGCCTCTAGGGGCGACAGCGGTCAGACACCGAAACGAGCGTCGCCCGCCCGGCCGGCGAAGCACGGCAAGGGCCGGAGCGGTGCCGCAGGCAGGGCTTGGACAAAACCTGCAGAGGGCCGGCGCCCCAAGGGCAGGGCGCCCCAAGGCGGGCTGGGGAGGCGGCCCGGAGGTCGCGAGCGGGCGGCCAGGCCAACCTGTTGCGACAGGGCCAAGCCGGAATGGGCGGCAACGGCGGGAAGCGGCCGAGCGCTGGCACAGGTGCTGGCGGGCCCCATGGGCGCGAGAAAATGGCATGCCTCGAGCGAGAGCTGGAGGCTTGCGGTGGGGGCACCAAGCAGGTGCGCGATGAAAAGCGACCACAAGGGCAGGGAGGTGAGGGCGGGGGGCAGGCCCCGAGCGAGGACTCGGGGCATGCGGGGGGGCACCGACTACATGCGCGACGTGGGAAAGCCACGAAGGCAAGGAGGGGAGGACAACGGCCAGAAAGGCCACTGCCGTGGCGGGGATGTCACGCTCAGTGCAGGACGAGGCGATATGGCGGCTGGCTGGACGCCACCAGCGGTGGCTGCTGGAAGCTGACCCGCGTTGACGGGAAGGGCCGTTGCTAGGCCAAGAGGAGTCCGCCCGCCGTTTCCCTTTCCCGTGCGGCGGGGCACCCTTCCCTTTGCCTTGCGCGACCTCAGAGCTTTGCCTCCGCTTTTCACGTTCGCGATACCACTCAGCGCGCCAATCGTTTCGTATGCGTTTCTTCAAGCAAAGTCTGCGTTTGTCGCAACTGACCTCGCTGAGGTCATGTACAAAACCTTGGTAGAATTCAGAGTTGTGACGCCCGGGGTCTTTGGCGGAGTGGGGCTCGGACTCCTGGTCGCAGATGGCATTCTACCCGATGGTCAGCATGGGGCCGTATTCTTTTTTGAGGCGGTTGATCACCGCTGTCCAGTCCCCCCTTGCACTGGCTCGGCGGTTCCAGGTATGGTACCAGGTCACCTGGTGCCTTGGCTTATTGTAGAGCCCGTCATTGTTGTCCGACTGAGGCGCGGGCAGTGCGAAGGGGGGCGGGCGGCGTGGTGCCGGCTCCCGTCTTCGGGACGGGGTGGTCTCCGCTGAGCTCCGTCCGCGCCACCTGTGGGGCGCGCCTGGGCTGCGTTGTTCGCTGGCCCAGGGGGTTTGGCGCATTGGCTCCTTCTCTGCGGTGTGCGGGGCGTTAGAAAAGGGCTGATCTGCCAGTGTGGCCTCAGCGCGAACGGGGGGAGCGCGCTGGCCGTTGGCTGGGAGGAGTTGCTGGAGTTGCGCCTTCTCCCAGAACGCCCGCTAGCCGGACTGTCCGGGGGGGCCCCCCCACTCCGGTCGCAGAGCCACTTGCGGGGGAACTCGCGAGAGGCAAAGCGGGAGCTGGAGCTCCTCCCTGCCCCGCCCCGCGGAGCCTCAGGGGGGGCTTCCGACGACTCAGCGCGCCCATCCTTGCCACTGGCGCGGACTGGCGCCGTTCGGCGCCCTAAGGATGCGCGGGACTGGCTGGAGGCACGTCGCTCCGCGTCTGGCCTCGGCGGCGCTGGGGCGGGGCGGCAGTCTGGATTGCTCCGCGTGCGGGGAGCTGCCGCAGGGGCGCTGGGCTGTCGACTCTTCCTTGGGCATTGAATCTGGAGGGCTGGCAGTTGCTGCTCGCGGGGGATCGTTGGGGGGGGGGCTTCCGTGAGGCATTCTTTGCTGCAGTTGCACGGAAGTCCATCACGCGTGGGTGTTGTGGCGACGCTGCCCCCTTTGACTCCAAATAGCCGAGCAAGATCTCCCGGCTGTGCCATGCCGGGTCTCGCCCCTTCCCAGCCGCTCTGGGGTCGCGTTTGCTGCGGTGCGCACCCCAATCGTCGGGCACCTTGCGCGAGGTAGCGGGGGCATGGGAGATCTTCTGTCGATGTAGGCGGTTAACCAGGAGGGCCAGGGTGGCGCGCTTACCGCCCCAGTGGTCTCCCGTGGGGATCCCAGACGGCGGAATGGAGTCGCCCGTAGATGGGGACAGAAACTCCTGGCAGCACGCTTCGGGCCAAGCTCTGGGGTCAGAGAGGGGTTCAATGCCTCTCCTGGGCTGGCGTAGCGAGGAGTCGGCGCTCCTCGCCATCCACGTCCTCCAGCGCTCGTCGACCTCTGGAGAGACTGCTCGGGCAAACGCCACCATGGCGTGCGCGATGGCGTTGTCAGCACCCCCGGGCGTTTTGTCAGGATTGATGTGCGCGGCCGCCTGCGGGTGGCAGTGGCCCTCGCATTCAGGCAGGGGCGTGCCGGAGGGTTAACGCTAGGGGGGGCATCCAGGAGGCTGGGAGGGGGGCTGTCGCAGTGTCGGCTGTCTGTTCCGCCCGTGAGCTGCCGCTCACCATTGGCGCTTAGGCCGACCCTCGCTAGTGCTGGCGACGCGCCGTGGGGAGGGGGCTGCAGGGGCCCGCGGGGCGGCCACCGGATGAAGTCCTGCCTCGCCGCGTGGAGGTTTGCTTCAAGTTGCCGCGGCTGCCGGCGGTCGGGGGCGCGCGCGAGGTTGCCCTGCGGTCGTTGGGGGGGGGCAGGGGGATAGTGATTCGGTGGTGGACCTGCTCCTGCGTGGGTCGACGTTGCCTGGTCCGTCTGCCCCCGAGGCGCGGGGCCGCCGCGTGGCTGGCCGAAGACGGGGGCGCTGCCGAGGGGAGGTGCGGAGGTCGGAGGGGCCCGCAGCCCTTGCTTCTCGCGGGAGGTCAGCCTTCGGCGGGGGGGCGGGGGCTGACTGCTGGGCCGCCTGGGTGCTTGCGAGGTCGTGGGCCCAGGAAAAGGCGGCCCCTCGCCTCCTTCACGCGTTTTTTGAGGGGGCAAGTCGCGACCGCCCCTGTCGACGATGATCCGGGCCTGGCTGGGACGGGCACCCCGCATATGCATAAGGCAATCCTCGCAGAACCAGGTGGCGCCCCACTGCATGTTGGCGAAGGCTTGGGCGCGCTCACTGGGGGCGGGAATGCCGCCGCGCAGCTGC